CCCTCACAAGCTGAAGCTAATGGGAGCTAAAAGCATTCAGCATCTGAAGTCAAGCAGTTAGTTCTCATTAGTCTGCAATAGTTCAGTCAAGCGTAAGCTCAAACTCTCATCTATCCACTGCTGAAGTTTTCCATTTTGAAGAAAAAAAAAGTTACAAGCTTTCAAACACACACAGCTTTTTACTTCAAATCTAATACAAAACTAAAAGCATGTGGAGAAGGAGCAACTGTATCTGTACTTTCAAAGAATACATTCATTTACAGGCAGTAAGATTTCCACAGAAGCTCACTAACTAGTCATTTAGCATCATCTTAACTCTAATTTGTAAAGAGCTACTTACAGAAGAGAACACATCTATTATCCTCTTTACTGTAGCTATTCCTTCCACAGCAAAAAACAACCCATAAGTATCATTATCTCCCTTCACTCAAGTAGCTGCTAGTAACTCAGTTCCATACTGGGCATCAGGGAATGGGGCATTGGGCACGGGAACACCCTACAGCTTTCTTTCCTTGCAGTTAAAATGCCAAGGGGAAAAGCTCCATTGGTTGTGTTATTGATCATACAGCACTGGGATCAGCAGCTTCTGCAGATACCTCTCTCAGAAGCTGTAGCTCATGGTTACTGCTCTGTCATCCCTGGCACACCAGGGTGCTAAATGCAGCCAGCCCCTCCCAGATTTTAGCCCTGGGAAAGTCCAAATTCCGCCGAGCTTGGGAGCTGCTGCCTCACAGGAGAACAAAAAATATTAATTAAAAAAACCCCAACAAAACCAACATATTTAAGTAATTGAAGACAGCTGACCAGCCATGTCTTTTCCAGAAAAAGAAAAAAAAAATCCAATACTGGGTGGTAGGGGGAAACAACTTAATTTGTGTTTGTTTGGTTTTTTTGTTTTTTTTTTTATTATTCCCCCCCACCAAGTCTCTACTAGTACTGGAAAAACTTTCAGGACAGACTGTTTTGTTAGCTGCGACTTTCAGAGCAATAAGCTATCAAGTTAATTGGCTATATCGCTTTTACAAGCATTGCTTATCACCTGCTCTACATTTGGCCAAGTTCATCAAATCAACTATGCATTTTCTTCAGAATGTAGCTTTGGTGTGCTGTGGTGGAAAAATACACTGGAACTATTAAAGGACAGCTGTGCCTGTCAGGCACAGTGTAAAAACACTGTCTGAGCAGATGAGATCCAGTCTCTTACCTTGCATTAAGGCGTCACAGAGTGCAGTTGCTTGGTGTGGTTAGCAGGCAAGCAGAGCCTCTGCGTTCTCCCTTCAGGGAGCACCAGAGGCTATCCAGAGGAAAGTTCAATTAGAAATTCAAAAAGCTGAAGGTACACAAAGGTTGCTCACCTCATCAATTAACTTCCTGGCGTTTGCAGTTGTGTAGTCACCAGCAAAAAACATGGCCAAACATGATTCATCGCTGCTTTTCTGTCTCTGCCCTCGAGTTACTGGTATTATGCTCCTTGCAGCATCAGTAGAAATTCTGACAGCTTTCAGCTCTTCAGAGCCGGGCAGAGGAACATAATCTTGAACTACAGCGTTCTCAGGCAAAAGCCCCCAATTATTTTCTCCTGACACAGGGGTAAAGTCATGGATGTTGCTCCATGTGTTATTGAAGATACTCAGTCCAGCATCTTTAAATTGTAAAGCAAGCTCAGGGTAATAGTACTGGAAACATCCGAATTTCATACCCGTGGAAGACTCGATAATGGGCTGGGTGGCACAGCACAAGAACACCTCCAGCTTCCTGCAGTCCCGAGTGCGAAACTGTTGGCAGGCCACTATGCACTTACAATCTTTGCAGTCACGGAAAAACACGCTGCCTTTTATTGGTCCTAAAAAGATTTGGCAGTTTACACAGTCATCGATAGTGATTGTAGCAGAATGGTCAAATATGTAGATACTACAGTTCTCACAGTCCTGAATGACAAATTGTTGCCCCGCCACTTTTCCAGGCAGACGACCCACAGTTTCACTTTTAAGTCCGGAAAAAGTGTAATCTTTAGGGTCAATCTGAAAGAGAAAGGAAAAAAATAAAACCAACAAACAAATGTGAAAATCAATATACAGAGAATATTATAATGCTAAATGTCAATTGACTTGCATTAATTCAGGTAGCACTGAATTGTAAAGGATAATCTAGCAGAAAACTCTTCAAAGAGTGATGAAAGATCAGAGGAAGCTCTTTTAGCTAAACTACTGGAATGCACAGTATTGAGGTGCAACAAAGCATTGAAGCTACACTTCTGAGATGCTCCAGGGAAAACGAGAACTTTAACTTAGTTTGTCATCTAATAGAGGGGGCAGGAGGAGCTAGTTTCCTCTGTGGACTCTAAACTGCTTCAACAAGGATGGTGGTCCCGAGTATTATTGTAATAACTGTAACAAATTAATTGGCCAACACACTTAAAGATTCACTAAGCTAGAGATACACAGTATTTCCTTTTCAAGTAGCTTTCTTGGTCACATCTTACCACCCCTCAACATGTTGCAAAGAAACCTTGCTCCTTCCAAGCAGTATCTCCTTTATCACATTTGCAAACTACAAAGAGCTTGCTTAACTGTGCCACAGCATTATCTTGTGCTAACAACTACAAGATTTTTGTGCTAACAACAGCAATGTGGTTGTTTTAGCTATGACAAACAAGCAAACACTGGCAGTGCTGGTGCAGGGGGCACGTTCAAAGACCTCTCCTCCTCCATGCTCCAGCATGCTCCCACTAGGGAGGGACACTTGGAAGAGGCTGTGGCTTTCCCGAGGACTCTCTGCTGGGGAGCAGTGACTGAAGAGCCACAAAGTGCATGGGGTGGTATGCGATACAGGTGGACAGCATGAAAAATGCAGCCAGTGCTGTCGTAACACCAAAGGAATTTGAGCTGGTTCCTTTCTAGATATACATGAGTCTCAAGACAATTATGCTTCCAGGACCAAATTCTACTCTGCCCTCTTGTGAAAACTTATTAAAACAGCACTTAGAAGTATACAAGTACCTAAACTAGGCTAACACAAGACCACTTCAGAAAACTATTTGATTATCAGCCCAAAGGCCCTAAAGCCTCCTGCACCATGATCGGTATTAATGCAATACAACAGTTTTTGTATAGTCCAATTTGTAAGAAACTCCTCCTCCTCTTCAGCATTTCAAACATTTGCATGAGATTTAGAGATCTGAAAAAGCCATAAACCAGGATGGGCTAGTGACAGACATTCACTAGACCAGCTCAGCCTAGATAGATTTTGTCCAGAGCAGCCAATGGAAGCTAGCAGCCTCTACCAGCTGATAAAATGTACTGCTTTATAAACAACATATCTGACCTCCAGACAGGAAAGGTGGTTTGCAGACGATGAATCTTCCAAATAAAATGCAAGTTGAGACAATGAAGACAGCTTTCTAGAAATCTTCCCTCAATCACATTTAACACCACTAGTACCCATCCAGGAAAGTTAGTTGGAAAAGTTATAAATAAAATTGGCAGGCTCAAATGGTAAGGGACACACCCACATATGGAGACTCAGCCACATAGTATGATTAGGATTCAAACCCTCTAAGGTCTTAAGTCTCATGTAATGTTACATGTTTGATCTATATATAAAAGCTACTTATATTCTCTCACACTTGAGAATACAAGTATCAAAATTGCTTTTGGACATGTTCTTCTCAGGCATGTCCTAGAACATGTATTTATATATACCATGGGGTGTCTTGGGAGACAGGCTTACTGCCTTCACAACAGGGTACAGAGGAACAGTTACTTCTCTTAGAAAGGAGAAGTTCAGAGTTTCCGGAACTTTCTGCTTTTTTTGAAAGCTGGCACCTAAGCGTGTCCTTCTAAATTGCTCTGCTCTGAAAAGCCTCTGAAGCAGCACTAGCTCACCCTACCCCGCAGCCTCTACAGAGATGTGTGAAACTGCAACTTCACCTTGCAATTTTATTTAGGCCTAGGTGAAAAACACTGGTTAGTCTGCTAACCCACAGCTTAGACAGTTTCAAATGAGAGTGCTTGAGAAAGAAGAGTAGTTGAGTTTAATGATAAAAAAGAATTAGCTTATTACCAGATTTAGGAGCTCAATTTTATTTCCCCAATGAGTCCTGCACTGACACAACTTTTACTTCTCAGTTTGTTCACCATGCTAGAGTTCACCAGTTTTCTTAAATTTTGCTTTGCAGTTTTCCTTTTAAAGCCCAAGAGTATTTGTTGATTAACACTGCTGTACAGATTGGAAAGACTGAATGAAATAGATTTATTTATTCCCCCTGTGAGGACAGGGTAACCCAAGAGACTGTAGCAGATCTGGATGCTTCACTTCCCCTGAGAAAATAAACATCCCAGAGAAAAGCAAAACTACGATTCTGAGGATGCATCCAACAGCTGCTAATATGCTGCATCCAACAGCTGCTAATATGCTGCTCCTTGCAGAGCTTCATGTTTACCAGCTCTGAAGTCTGCAGCTATCATCAACAGGTTTGTATTAAATCACTGCATCCACCTTCCTTCTCCTGACAGTCAGCACTAAGTGCTTCTTAAGCTCTGCCTCAGCAACATAGCAAAAAAAGCAGTATAGGAAAACCAAATGCAACAGAAGAAGGTAACATCTGCAGCCTCATACAACCATAACAAGGGCTACGTAGATCTTCCTGACTGTTCATCCAGTGCAACTTTTGCTGTAAGATCTTGAGCACGTGGCAGGTCAGCAAAAATCAACTGTTTGATAACTCATCTATTTATCATTTGGATAAAGCTTTAAAGAACTTTGTCCAAATTCACCCATCTCACCTAGACAGATGCCTTACTCTCCATCACTTAATACATTTTTAAATGTCTTCCCCCCACCCCCCCTGCAGGCTGGTACAAGTCCAAATGATGACAGTATTTACAGAGGCAACTTTAATGCTTTCGGCTGGATTTAAGGAGGTTTTTTTTAGTAGAAACGAGTCCTGCATTAATAGATACAGCTCACAAGTTGAAACTTTCTAACAGAATTGCTACGTGCAGGTTCGGGAATTACTTCATACAGTGACCTAAAATAACCAGATATGATGACCAAAAAATAATCCCTTCTTACACAATAGTCTTCTCCCTCAACAGAGGTACAGAAATTTTATCTTTGGTTATCAGCCATGACATCGGTGATAAAGTCTGTTATGAAGGACTTGAGGACAAATTGTAAGGAGCAGGGATTTTAAAGAACAAAGAAATGAGACAAGTAAAGGCAAACCAAAGTTTGTCATGGTTGCTTTGAAGGCTATCAAATTCTGCTGCAAGTAGTGCAAGGAGTATTAAGCAGCTTTCCTTCCTGCAAACACTTGTCTTGCAAGAAGGCCAGAGGTGAAGGCTGCAGGTGACACGTCTCTTCAGCCACCATTATCCAGTTTCCTGGCACCAAGACTAGGCAGCTCCCATCTGGAAGCAGACTTAGAAGTACTGGATCCTCACAGTTTTTAGTGGTAACTGTGCCTACAACCACCAAGGATCCCAACAGCTCCTTTAACTCTTTCCAGCATGAATTCACATGTTAACAAGACTTTTTCACCAGGTTCATCAGGAAAGGAGTTTTTAGTCAGCAGTGATATGCCACCACAATATGAGAAGGCACTGCTGTTCTTGATGGATTACAGTTCTCCCCTAGGTTACTTGGGTCCAGCCTGCTGAGCAAACAATGGTTTGTGAAGTCTTTCTAAACCACTTACACTAAGGTCATCTCCATTAAATATAATTCTGAAAAAAAAATATTCCTGTCTCTCTAATTCACAACAGATGGTGGTTCAGCTATGAACTTGCATACCCTCGATGAGATATAAGAGTTGGCTGCTGACCCAGTGACATTAAAAGCTGCAGCTACAGGGTAGGCACACAAACTTAAGAGGCTTTACATGCTATCTTAGTCAGCAGGGGAATTAACAGAAGGGAAATAAGCAAGAGAAGTGCATTCCCAGGCCTAGAGACTTCTGCATATTCATACGTGCATGGGATTGGTGCCCTTAAGCACTGAGTTGCAACATCCTCTGGAGACTGGCTTGCTGAAGTTCCTCACCTCTGGCAGATTTCTAGATTCTTAAGCAATAAGAAAAGGTGGAAAGAGGAATAACATGTACAGGTTCCAGTCACTAGCATACAGTTTTTCATCTTACAGCATCTCTGTGCACCTCGACTTTAAATGTGGCCAATACAGCAGCCTGAATGCACGCTTCATCCTATTCTTTGTAATCTTCCCCCTTTTCCTGAGTACCTGTAATAGCACAAAATGGCCACTCATACTTCTCTGAGCAACTGATTATTGCCAAATACTGCAGAAAGGAGAAGAGGAAGAAGAAAGGAAGCTACTACGTGCCTATGTCTGACTTAACTGGAAATATTGTTTAATAAGAACCTGCTGACTGTTTCTCAGTTGATAGACTATGTTTTTGGGAATACAGCAGTAGTTATTCTGGTGCATTGGGAAGCAAATGGGAGAGGCACTGGATTTCCGGACAAAATATTTCACTGTCTAGGTAGAAAAAAAAATAAATTTAAAAATTACTTTATTTGTATTCAAAAATAAAATATAAACTGACTACCTAAACAAGATCTAGATAGTTCGAGATGTCCACATCAGCTCAGACCACTCCAGCAGAATCCTCAAATGTAAGGCAACTAACAAAAGACTATTTATGATTTATGGAGAAAGCTACACCTCTGAGGGTTGGGTTTTTTTCAAACTGTTTGAATACAGCCATCACAGCCTCGTAAAGCAATGATAGCTGTGTGTTTCCTATCAACTATAGCAGTTAAGTTGCAAGTCAACTGACATAAAACAAAACTATACTTGTTCCTTCTAAAACGAAAAGTCATCTGGGAAGGAAAGTCCCTCTAAGCTTTAAATGCCATTGCAATCATAATCAGTCTAATCCTGCTTCCTTGAGCATGAGACGCTGCATCTTTTTGTGCTTCATGTCCTGCAGAGAAGGTCACAGCACATGGGTATATCTGCCATCACAAGACACAAAACCCCAGTTCCTGTCTACATGAACCCATATTCATGCTGTAGTTTTCACTCCAGTCATGTGTGTAAACAACATTGGTCACACAGAAGGTAGTAAGGTAGGAAAGGAAAAGGGAGACCAGGAGGAGAAATGCAGTCTTACGTTCCAGGTGGAAACGTCGCTGAAGAAGGCTGAGGAGGGACAAGCACCACCAAGTTCCTCTCCCACACTTGGTCTGCAGGGGACCCTCATGACAGCCCAATGCCATCAACACATGACAAGGCCCCAGGATGCGGTGCAGCAGTAACAGACTCTGTAATAAACTGTGCTCTACTCATTCTCCTGAGCTAAGAAGCTCAGAGCAGCAAGAAACTGAACACTCATCTTTTTCCTTTCTGTTTTCAAGATAAGCTGATCCTTTGATTCTTCTGTTGCACAGTAATCTTCACACAGTTCTCTGAACCCAAGCAAACATTACAGAGATCCCAGCAGACTTCTGATGCAATCTAGATTTCATTAATTTTTGCATACCTTAAAAACACAGACTTCTGTCCTCACTTAAATGAGGTCACACAGAAATCTGAAAAGGGCCCTCAAATTCATATACTTTCCTTAATTTCAATTCAACTATTAGCATCTTATAATATTTTGTATTTGGAGTTTTCTACCTCACAGGCCATTTTGGGGATTATTATTACACAAGAGTTATGTGGTCACTAAGACATGGTCATATTGCTCTTTGGCTAGGTCTACACTACGCTAGCAGATAGTACCAATACCAATCATCTTTTGCCACCAGTTAAACAGCCTACATTAGCAACACTGTCCTTCAGAAGCAGAAGAAACAGATTAGCTGGAAGAACTCCTCAGGTTCAGAGCTCCTTCCAGCAGAGCTGTCAGCGAGCAGTCACTTCTCTTCACAGCCCTCCTCAGACAAGCATGCACACGAGCATGCCCACATTTCTCTGCCTACAGTGAGAGGGTCAGCACAGCACTGGTTTACAGGGAGACAGCTGGAGTCTCTGAGCAGCAAGACTTACCCACCTGTAAGAACGTACAGAGGATAACTTACCAGAACCTCAGACAACTGCTAAATCTGCTTGCACTACATAAACAGAACTGCATCACCGAGTAGGAGAACCTAAAATTAGAGCCACCCCCCAACCCAAATGGTAAGTCAACACATTATTAAAAGTAACAGGAAATTAACTTCAAATGACCACTAGCACATCTGTTGACAGAGCAGAGGTTTTCTGGGTTCAGAATACAATTCAATGCACTTGATGAACACAAAGGAGTTATGAGGCCGCAAGTTTTGCTGCTGACTTCAATCTAATTTTGTGTACAAACACAAGTTGTGAAATGAGTAAGTATAACATATGTGATGCATCAGAAATGAGAAAGCAAAGGACAACAGTAATGTATCAGAAACAATACTTAAAACTACTACATTAACACTGACTTAGTATCACTTAATACAAGTCAGGATCAACAAATTTAGCGCACTAAGAGCTCAGTATTCCTTAACCTAAGACCAAGTGTCTCAGAACTGCTTTCCTGGCTTAATGTACTAAGCATACACCCAAAGACCCAATGAAAGGTAAGGCTGCAAAAGCAAGAGGAAGGGGCTTAAATGTTAAATAGCTGTTCTTGAGCTGTACAGTACAAAATTAGGCACCCAATTAGATGGCTTCCACAGTTCAGTAGCAGAGCCCATCCTCACTGTTTCTTCTAGTTTCTAAGATCCTTTTACAGAAAAGGAGGAAGTTGTTGTTCATGCAATCCATCGCATGCTTTTTTTTTCCTCCACAGAGAGAGATTTTTGGTGCTGTAATAGCCTTGTCTGTTAGCTTGAATCTACTTCCAGCATGTTAACAGTCATCTCCTTAGCAACAAGGCTGGCTGGTCTCTGAATCAAGAGTTTCCATGTCCTGACTTCCCTCATTTTAGTTTTAGAAGTTAGCGCCACATAAGCAGATTGGGTAACACGTCTCATATCAGCTAAGCTTTAGCTGATGAATTTTCTCTAAGCTTAAATCATACGATTTAAATGCTCATTTAGTAATTTACTTCTGCACAGACCTAAGGTTTATTCTTCTGCTCTAAAATACGGTTTCAGTACAGCCCTCTCCCTGTGAGCACAGTCTCCATACAAGTCACAGTCTGCCATCCTCCCCTACCCTTCTCTCTCCAGTGCTGCACTGCAAATATCCACCAGCAAGTCAAAGCAACAAGCCCAACACAGATCAGCCGTCTTTATCCCCAAGGAACTGATTCCTCCGGGTCACACGCACACTGTCTAGCTCATCTCCACCTGACCTTGCCTGGGAAGTCTTAAGGGACACCCTAGAGCACCTCACCAAGTTTATAAACCAAGCAAGCTAAGCATTCAAATAAGTTCACACATTTTCTTTACTATACTTGTAAAATATGGCCTAAAGGTTTGAGGATTTTGCTTGTTAAAACCACATTCATTAAGTTTATGGCCTGCTCCGTTTTCTCCCGCCCCCACCCAAAAGCAGCTGGAGAGGAGGGGAGACCTAGCAGGGCTGTGATACCAGGATATATTTAGGAAGTGAAACTTGAAACGAAAGTGGGAAGAAATATATTTAATTTAGCACTTAAAGTGCTTTCCTGCTTGAGACTTTATGATTGCCTTCAATAGGTCAGGAAACAGCAGTGGGAAGGATTTGTCTTCATCTGTCACTTCAGGGGCTGATGGGCTACTTATAGTTCCTCTAGCTTTAAAAACAAACAAAACACGCCAAAACCCACAACATAAACAAAAAGCCCCCTCAACAACCCAAACAGACAAGCAGTAAGTACAAATACTATAGTCAGTCAGGACACAAGTTCACTGCCCCCACGGAAACAGCCGGCGTGGGGGCTGCAGCTGTCACAGGCACTAAGGGCTGCCCGGCACCACATCGCTCTGCTCGGGCGAGGCGCACACCCACGGGGACCCAACCTGGATCAGACAGAAACTCGCCCCCCGTCGTGGCTGCCACGGCCGAGCTGATGACCACCATCCGCCCACGGTGCGCTGTCCCACTGGGGAGCGGCGGTAGGCGCCTCCGGTACAACCCCCTCCTCGGTACAGCCCCCTCCCCGATACAGCCCGGCCGCACCCCCAGCTACAGCCCGGCCGGGGATTGATGCTCACACAGACGGCAGCTGCAGGACCCAGCGTGCCGCCCTTTCCGCTTGCACAATTTGAGACTGCCTGGTAAAATCCTTAGGGTAAATACTTTTTTAAAAACAGTTATCTAAATAAACGCACTTAACCTCACCCACTGAGGCGTTACAGCGCTACCGGGGGAACCCCTCGGCCCCACC